ATTAAATTTTCCATTTTCTTTTTTTCGACATAAATAAGTTTGCGTCTGAGCGTCTCCGCGCTCAAAAGCGCGCAGGAAACTACAAGGAAATAACGAAAAAACTGCTTCGTTTAACTTTAATTCATCAAGTACCTAATGTTGTTGTGTTTCGTGAACACACACACTCTTCCTTCTATTTATTCGCTTCAATTTTATCCTCGGAAAATACTACACGGGTTTCATTCATTGCCGGGAGGCATGCGATACGTGCCGTGTTAATACAGTCCCAAACACTTTCTCTAGCGATTATCTGAAAATAATCCGGCCGCAAATCACTCGATTATCAACCAGGCCGTTCCGACAAATTGAATGTCGGCCAAAAATTGCTCCAATAAATCCGCTTAATCTTGTCCCGGGGTGTACGAGACCTCCCTCATTCGACGAGCATAATAAAACGGTCTGGTTATTATTATGGTCACTTGATAAGTGTGACAGACACGCGACAATTTAGAATGCATAGCGTTGTGTATCGCTCTTTCATTCTTGGACGTGTCGCGGGGGGGGGTTAAGATGGCTATATTTGTAAATTCGACCACACGAAAACGTCGATCCTCATCGAGAGTTTAGAATATACGTACTAGTTGTAATAAATTGGCGAAATATTATTAAACTATTGTTTGGACACTGATTCGCATCAAAAAATTATTAGGAAAAGGAATTTAATACCAATTATTTTAGTTTTACCAGAGCGGAAGGGTCAATAAGGCCGGTTTTCGACCCTATCAGATATTCGTCCTAATCATATGGAATATGCGTTTTGGACCTTCAAAAACAATATTAAATCGATTCTAGGCAAAACGGATACAACCCCCCAACCCAAACATTAAAAAATGTAACCATTTTTCTTACATGTAATGTACAGAATCATATAAATAATATTTTTCGGGCACAATTTAAGTAAAAACACTTGCTTATAATCATTTCCCCCTTTATTCCCCCTCCCACTCAACTGCATAACCTCTACAATCAGTGAGAGGCAAGCGGACTCACTTTAAACCGGCAACCAATATGTGAGAGGCAAAAGGACTCACTTTAAACCAGTACCCCAATCAGTGAGAGGCAAGGGGACTCACTTTGAACCAGCACCCCAATCGGTGAGAGGCAAGGGGAGTCACTTTAAACCAGCAACCCAGTCAGTAAGAGGCAAGAGTACTCACTTTAAATCAGCACCCCAATCAGTGGGAGGCAAGAGGACTCGCTTTAAACCAGCACCCCAATCAGTGAGAGGCAAGGGGACTCACCTTAAACCAGCACCCCAATCAATGAGGGGCAAGGGGACTCAATATTCGTTAAACCCCATCTGGTCACTGTTCGTCCCTAACCTTAAAAATACTTCAAATCGTTGAAATAATACGTTTCTACGATGAGTAACACAGTCTAACCACCATAATTTATGTTTTCGGGATCGCTGAAACCAATTCTGATATCAATATAACTTCAACTAGTCAGAATCCGTGCCAAACCTCAAAAAAGTTGCGCAAATTGCTAAGATCACACTTTTCTACGTTTAGGAATGAAATGTAACCAACATATCTTTATATTTTTGGAGTCACTGAATCGGATTCCTACATCCGTTTGAACCCAACTAGTCACTAGTCGTATCTAACCTCAAAAGCTATAATAGTTATAAAGTGCTACCACCGTATTTTTATGTTTTTTCCAAACGAGCATGTGATATGATGAAAGGTATGTTCTATATAAAAAGAGCAAATCCTTTTTAGAAGTTATGTATATTGTACTAAAGAAAAGGTAATACAGACTTTATATCTTAGCCATGATCCATGATAACGCCCTCAACCCGATTAAACACAAAAAGCATATATTGTTTAACCTGTTGAATTTAAAAATATCGAAAGGATTGACAGGACGGAATTTATTCTTATGTAAGTCTTAATCGATTCGGCAAATACTATTTCGAAATTTGTTTCGGTACGTTCATAAGAGTTTTTGGATGTTTTGGGTGGAGGAGTTTAATCCGATTTGACTAGAGTCGATTTAATATTGTTGCTTGAAGTTCAAAAAACATATTCCATACGTTTAGGATCAATTTCTGATGGGACTGAAAACCGGCCTTATTGACCCTCCTACTTTAATTGCCAACGCGAAGATAACAAAATTACTTTTTTAAACAAACTGGCCATGTGACTTGTAATCATTTTTCAAGGCTCTGTATACATTTTCACGTTATCTACACTTCCACACTTTTCTTTCTGTTCCAGTATTGCCTTGGAGATGTTTTATTAAAATTTTCTTTCTGTGCTTAAACATAAACTTTCAGAGAACTACTTTTAACCACGTAGAAACTTATGCACAAGGCAGTTGGAAGTTTTCTTAGTAAAAAGAACCCGCCAAGTTCCTAATTAGAGAAATACATTTTGTTGCATTTTCTCTACGACGCAAACTGGGATGAAATCGTAGCGGAGCGACTTCGAAATTGCATCGTCACGGCCTTCTTGGACCGTAAAAAACACCGCCGCCATCCTGAATTGCCAGCGGAGTTCTTAATGTCAGTTTCGGCTGTTCTGAATTTATCGAGAGACTTCGCTGCAGTTCTCTCGCTCGTTGCAGGAAGATATAATTCAAAACTTGGGGGACTCTGTCGACGAAAGTTATCAGGAGAAGTTGTAGTTCTACTCCGTCATACAAAGTGGCCTGCGACCAGAGTCAGGCGTCGAACTGAGAGTCTTCAGGCCAACTCTTTTTTTATTTAATTTTTTTTTTAACTAGCTGAAACAAAAGCCGGGACGCGTAGTAATTTATTTATTAGCCAAAAAGTAAAATATTTCAGTCAACACTGATTTAATTGATTTTTGAACAAGTTCACTTAGACCGTCGGGGCCATGTGACAGTCATCTGTCGCGTCCGGGAGGCGCCAATCTATGCTGGGACAGAACAAAGAAACCCATATTTTTAATAACGCGCGAAACTACGAGAAGAGCGTAGAGGTTCCAAATTAGGATTAAATCAAATTGTTAAATTGATAATAATTGGAAAGGAAAGTAATAGATCAAATTGCTGGTTTTTAGGCGGATTTTCCAAACTATTAAGAATATATTAAATGAGATTGACTAATCCGTCCCGTATTGCTACACGGAGTCACTAGAAGAAGGCTAGGGTTACTTGTAAGTTCAGTTAGTCAAAGAATTATTTATATAAATGTAAGTCCAGTCAATTAGGTAGGTAATTATTAACATAGTATAGTTATACCAAAGCGTCCAGATATTCAGGTTCCCGCCAATAAGATAAGAACAGAAACTTCTGAACCCAAGAAATGGGCGTGTCGAAGCGAGGTGTCGAATTCAGGAGAGATCCGAAAAACAGGCAGTTCTTCCTTGGGTTTCACATTGAGCAGTCTACTTAGTTTAGAGTCTCGGATCAATTTAATAATGGATAAAGTCATTTCAAATTTTGCTATGGATCGCGCATTCCCTGAATCTCGGTGGCGTGTCAATAAATTAATTAATAATGTTGTTCGAGCCCGTTGTGTCGTTAATTTGTTTATTTGTTTGTTTTGTTTTTATTGTTATTAAAACTCTTCCTGGAAGTTTTGGTGTGTCTTTCTTGTTCTTCCAACTTAAGTGTCACCCTATACAACCAACCACTGGATTACCTTGTACATGAGCGACATACGGTAAGTGTCTGGTATTCATTCTCAGAACATACAACATTTCTAAGTTCCCACGTATTAATTAAAGTATAATGATAATTATAAACTCCCTTTCGAGAATTGAATAGTAAACTCTAAACGATATATAGATAAATAAAGAAATAATCCCTCAGGTTGCATAGCGGACAACCCGTAACTTTTTTATTTTTCGACTTACCTGTACTACAAAATTAGTAGATTTTAACCGGATAACGTCCTGATCAGAAATGACCGAGGAAATTACATTTCCTTTCGCGACAGTCACCCTGGGCGAAATAACTGACGCCTTATTAATCAATAAGCGATTCCTGCTGCAGCAGGACGGCGCGGGACCCTGTATTCGAGGCACGTACCTGCCAGAGAAAGAAATACATTGGGAAAATGCCCCAATTTATTATTGGAACAGGCCTAATAGGTATCCACGCTTGAATGCTCGGCGGCGTCGGGGAAGCTTATACTTCATTTATCAAAAAGCGAGACGCGCGGCGCGTCGTAATGGATTTACCGATTTCGTGAAAAGTTGGGAGGCAAGTGATGCAGCTAATAACGTGGGGTGGGGGTCCATTGTTGGACGTGAGGGGTGGAGGGAAGTTGGAAAGTTGTAATTTTCGAATTCTGGCTGGGGGAATCTTAATCTCCGATAATTTTGCCCTAGGGAATTCAGGAATTAACAATATGTACCTATATTGTCCCAAAATGATAGAACAAAATTCATATTTTTTTCCAGTTCAGATTTTTGAAAATCGCTGAAGCAGTCAATTAGTAAATGTCGCTTTTCTGCAATATTTTTTTTTAGCCATGTTTAACAGACCTACAACATTACCGACATTTTTTTAAATAGGACGCTCTATATTTTATTGTATAAATAGATAGCCACCACCTACACAACTATATTGAATTATCTAATTTTTGTCATTGTTAATTTACCGACATTTATAATGTATTGCACTGAAATTTGCCCTCACTAGTGGGTTTTTAGTTTGTAGGATAAGTATTTAAAAATACTTAAAACACTAGATGATGCCACAACACTCTGACGGCTGTCTGAATATACATCATTATATTGTATAACTTTGACCAAATCCTTTACTATTTTAATCCTATTTCTACAGTGTTTGCACTATTTTCAAGTTGTCTTCTTTGATGTTGTTCCTCTTGGTCTCCTTGGACAAATCCTGGATTCGAGACTTTATAGTATTTCCGAATTATTTGAATTAACATATCTGCGCACTATTTCCTTCGCACAGGTTGCAATTTTTGTATTTTCAACCAAGTCGTTAGAGACTTTGAACAACGTGTCTTCCTCTTGTTACAGATCTCCCTCAGGAGAATCCTGTGATCACTGGGGTGGAGATGCAGTACCAGATCGGCGACGAGATCAATCTGAACTGCACCTCGGGCAAGAGTTACCCAGCGTCGATCCTCCACTGGTACATCAACGAACAACAGGTAATTTTTTTAGGGATTTCAAGAAATAGTATTGTGGGAAACAACCATACAGTATTACACCCGCAATATCTACCAAACAGCTAAGATCATTGGTCAGTAGAACCACCAGACATATACATTTTGGAATTTATTACCTCTCATCAGTACAGGTGACACGACCGACGAATGATCTAGTTGTTTTGATGACCTTCTATTGGTGAGATATAACGAACAAAGTGTATTAGATCCAGAAGCCGGAAGCCCTGATCGAGTACCCTCTGTACCACCACGCCCAGGGCCTGGTGTCGGCGACGCTGGGGCTGCACTTCAAGCTGAGCAACCACCACTTCAGGGGAGGGTCCATGAGGGTGAAGTGCGTGGCATCCATAGCGCCCATCCTCTATCACAGCGACAGGGAGAGTGTCGTTCAGACGCAAAGCCTTCCCATCAAGGACCTCCGGGAGGCCCTCCTACTTGGTGAGTGGTCCAGCTTCGTCACTTCCGGTATGCATGCCATTTTCATACCTTAACCTCATTCACGAAATTGCTAAGTATAGGTTATAAAAACAAAAACAAATATAATTGTGAACATGTTTTTGCTGCTCCCACTACAGTAAATAGACTATTAATATATTGTTTTTAAGGAGGTAAGTGGATTTTACCGTAGAAGTGGGAGTTGCTATGGACAACGGGAGGTAAGTGAGGTAACTTCCACCCACTATGTCTCTTGATTGCTAATACGTAACGTTGCCGATGTTCTTCGGAATGAATGGCCTGTATATGTTTCAGGATGTTCTAGTTTCAAAAACTGGGAAATTTTTTAAAGAATCATAGAAAGGGTATTCTTGCCGACTGGTTAGATGTAACATCTACCTAAGCCAATATAATCTTGATATATTTCTTGAGACCACCAATATTTTTGTTCTGGTACCATTCTTTGAAATTTCTATATGTTTGTCCGTAGCGCACTTTCGACTTCTCGGGCAATAAAAATTCGCAGGCAGCATTCCTTGCACTCTATTTGAAAATCGGTCATTTAGAAATAATAATACAAAACCAGCAAAATTGCAACTTTTATGTAGCTTTGTTTATAAACACCTTAGAAACGACAAAATCCAAACAATAAAGACGACTTTGCAAAATTTCAAATAAGGTCAAAATGAATTGATTAAGAAATGCCAAAAAATAAAACCTAATCTTTATTTCATGAACCATAAAGGGAACAGGTAAAATGTTATACACCACGCAGAGTATAATTTACCAGTCTCGGAGCCTATTGCCAGCCCTGGCTCCGCTCGGGCGCAAAGTCCTCCTCGACTGGTAAATAATACTTACCTCCTTTATGGTGTAAATAACTTGTTCAATATGAATGCTTTTCTCCAGAGATACTTTAGGAAAATTTAATTTCATGTACTGTTGTTAAAAATCTTAATAATTATAGGAAACTATATTAGTATCAAAATCTAATAAAAAATATTCCGTTTTTCCTTCATGTGAATCATTAAAGTAATTTCCTCGACCAAGACATCGAAAAATTAATTTATTAAAGTTAGAAGGTAATTTTCTTAATTGAATTTAAACTTTTTTCATTTACGGCTAACACATAACAAAAGGATTTATTACCACCCCTAATTTCTCATCCTTTTCGAGTAATCTCCCGCGACGTTAAATATTCAACATAAGCGCTCCTTTTCGCCTTATGGTAACAGGTTCCGGTTGATTTATTGATGAGTTAGATCAAGCTTGCCAACAGTTGCACTTATATCCGGTATGTGGCCGCCTCGAACGCATCAAGAGGGCCATGCCGATGATTTATACATCAGAATCTACACGGAAAAGAATTTGGAGGTTCTGGCAATTTTTTTACATCTATCCACAATCAGACGGTGTTGTGTTGCTATTTAAAAATTATTGTTAAGGATGCCGTTCTCACGAAAGAGATTTCCTATAAGAGAAAAGATAACTGCTATGATTTGATGACTTACTGCGGCTCTATGTCACGGGACATGACTGTTTTCAAGCATGACGGATAATACGTTACATTAATATTCCTAATATTTAATTTTGCTTCGTGAATAATTCTACTGCTTCACCCGCTTTAAGATTGTATTCGTAAAATCGCGTTAAACAAAGCCACACAAACAATATCGCAATCACAGCCCAGGAATAACAAATGGCTTGCCCTCAGGGATTAGATCCGTAAATATGATGTTAGAGCGCAATTCGGCTAAAAAATCGCTTTACATTTCGGATGGACCGAAAAGGACGGGACTGATGATTATTCTTTATGTACGGATTTGCCCTGCGAAAAATAAAACGATTGGGTTTTTTGCGAAATCTTGATAACCCCCGATGTTATTCGTTGGATCTTGAAAGCCACGTCCGAAGGTTGAGAGAGTTTTCAATTTTTTCATCGTTTTTCTCATCGTCGACAACTTTCTTATAGTCGGGATGTTCGACATGTCCGACACTTTTCCTGGGCTGAATTTTTTTATGCGAAAAAAATACCTTTAAAAGTTGTTATTGTACCACTTCAAAGTCATTCCGCCTCCACGGAGCTTAGCCCGAGAACATCAAGGGCATATCAAAGATTCCTAGCTAAAAATTACGCAATACATTCAGTATGTGGTATCAGCCAAATGGAGTAGTAAATTCAATAATAAATAAATGGGGGTGTGTTCGAAAAAACTCTCGGACACGTCGATTGGTATTTAGTTGTGCATTTTTGTCTACAAGAACTTTGTATACAGGGTGTGTCATGTAACAGTGGTCAAAACCAACTTTCTTATTTTAAATGCAACACCCATTTGCAATTATTAAATTTTATTTATTATTGAATTTATTCCATTTGGCTGATACACACTGTATGTGAAATTACCAGAGACCCTTGTTATTTTTATGTTGTTGAGATATGCCACCGCTACAATTCTATGATTAATGAGATACGTACAGTAAATATCACTTTGTTTTATGAAAACATATATTATTTTTATGGCGACCGCAATATATGTATGTAGCAAATGGTATGCTTGACTGTTATAAATAATAGCGAGTCATTAATATAATGTTATATGTGCTGTATACGGTACTGTTAATTATCCATTTACATTATATTCACTTCTCCGAATATAATTTTATAGCCATATCAATGACAAACAGCTCATGAAGCAGAAGTACATAAAATTAGGTACGTATTGAACATCAGAGAGTTGCTCTAGACCTTGGAAGAAGTATTAAAAAGAAGATTAATTTTGATGTATAGTTTTGGACCTAAAGTAGGGAATTTGCGGTACTTTCTGGCAACATCCTGTACAAAAAATTTTGATAATTTAAACGATTATCAGAAAGGGGCTTAAATGTTAGAGATAACTCATTTCGAATGTGACTGGAATTAACATTTACTTGACTTGAGTTGACGGAATAATTAGGAAACGAAGGTTAAAGATAAACCCTTAAAGAACCTTCGACCTTTCGAACTCTCAACAGCAAAGCTGAAATAATTAGTCAATTTTCCACCAACCCCCAATTTACGCCCTCGGAAAGCCTAAGATTTTCGCGTTCTTCGAAAAACTCACTTGATTTAGAAGATGAAAATACAGTTTTTTACATGCTTTCAATGGAAATACGTTCTTCTGAGGCCACTATTATCTCAATATTCTTTGATAGATGTTATAATATATCTACTATTGTCATAAGTAACGTGAACAGTACGTAGAACCTGAAACAGTGAACCAAATTGAGTTTTGTTTGACATATTACAATTTGAGAACAATTCTAATACTATTTCCCTTTATTAAATAGATAATTAAACCTTTTGATTAAATCCTTCGTCATAGGGAATGCTTTTGCGAAGAAACTGGAATAAAGCGCGATACACATCCACGCTTGTTCCATTTTAAATTAATTAAAGTCATTCCGCTGCACCGGTCTCAAAGCGTCCACGTGAAACTGTAGTCCGGAACAAAAGAAAGCAGTTGCAAACTCGATTAAATTAGTTGGAAGTTAACACTACGTGACTGGCATGGGTCGAAGGCAATCGCGACGGCCGGAAAAAGCGCTTTTACAGCTAGATTAAAACGGCACTTCGGACTTTAAGGACTATTATTAAGCTGGTTCTTAACAGCAGCGCTGCTGCGGTTGTAATTAGTATTAGTATTAAGTTAAATTATCAAGTTATCAAATTTCGTCCCAGTTTCCAATCCAAGCTAAAATTCACGACTATTTCAAGTCAACGTTTGAAGGCAGCGTCAGATTCCTGAGAGCTGACATCGTGCGGAGATCGCCCTAGTTTCGAAGCGCTCTCGTTAGACAGGCGATCGAACGTCGACTTTGATCACTTGCAGATAGATAACCAAACAAGTACCTGCCAGTACGTGTGTAACAGCAATTAGCTGTTACTGTATTGTTTATACTGAGTGTTAAACCAACACATATTTAGCAAAGTAGCCCATGCATTAATTTCAGGCAAATTTTTAGGTCGACCTGCATATTATAGTCCAGATATTAACCACAAAAATATTTGTAGGCAATACTTCAATTATCTCTTCTTGTCACTGTTATTGTTATACATACATTTAAATTTTAATTAATTGAGATAAACACTCAGTTAACGTCAAAGATAATGACGTGAATCAAAAATCAAATTGTTCACAAAAGATGCCACTACATTTTTATTCGAATAGACATTACATTATTGTAGCCTGCACACCCTACAATCTGTTTCAATTTTCGGGATCTCTTCTAACCCGTACATGCTAAAAATTTAAATTTCTTTAAAAGAAATCAATACTTGTTATTTGTTATAATCAAATGACATATGACCCGTCCATTTCATCTATCCACAAAAACAAATGAATACCTGCTTGACCTACTAACACATTTTTTTCATTTCCAGTGAAAAGCTCAACGAGTAAATCCTCAGCCGCGGGGATCATCCCACTTCTGATCTTAAGCATGCTTCTGATAACGTAAGTGTCCCGTAAAGTTTAATAAAAATCCAAGTGACAACTCAGTGATTATAACTGTGAAAGTGTGCAGCTCCGACGTCATTCTCGCCTGGATAATTATTTTTGTGATAGAAATTTTCCCCTTTAATAACGACCTAGTTACATCGTGGCGGTTGGGCAACAATGTAAGAGGCGTTGTTAATACAGTAATAAACTTCCCACGGGTAACTTTACGACCCTTTTACAGCAAAATTTAAAATGTAGAAAGATTGAAGAATATAGAGAACAGTAATTACTTGTATGTTTAAATTTTTAACCCTCAAAGGTCACACTAGTGCGGATTGGGATTTTGCCAACTTTGAACCTTTATGTATTTGTTATTTGTTAACCAAAACAGCATATCAACATTTTCCGAGAAAAAATTGTTAATAAAAAATGCAATTGAGAACATTTTTTTTTTTCGAAACATGACAAAATTCGTATTTTTTATAAATAATGGCTAGAAAAAAGTAAAAAATGGATTTTGAAATTCAGTCTAAATTTTTAGGAAAAAAAATCAAATATCATTTTTTTTTGTGATTTTTGGCTCTTTGTCTGCAAATTGATGTTTATTTTGCACTCTTTACTCTAAAAATATTAATTTAAACAATATTATCCATAAATGTTGGCAAATACATGTTACAAACTATTAGATAATGAAAATAAACATGTTAAAAAACGGTGGTGCCATTTCGCACAAGTGTGACCTTTGAGGCTTAATATTCCATCGTTTTGTCAGATTTCAACATGGTGCAGAATTTAATAATTTTTTAGACTAATTCACTGGATTATATAATTCTATATCGTATTTTTTATATCTTTACACGTGGTTATATTTTCCTAACTTTTCATTCAATCGTAATAGAAACATATCAACATACAATGATATGAAAGTAATAAAATTACTATTAACTTTTCCAAAAAAATTCTATATTATCTCTTTAATCAGGTTAGAATGAACTTAGTCAAGCAGACTAGTATTATTGTTATCTTTCATTGTATCGTAATTAATCTACAGGGTGTCCGGAAACAAATGAGTCATATTACATAGACAGCATTCTTGGATAAAAATAAACCGATTTAGATCAAGTTATCTTAATCTAATTTTGCTTCTTTGAAAAATTATAGGTTTCAAAGATCTTTCAATTAAATTTGATATGAAATAATTTTTTACCTATGGAAATAATAAGAATATTAGAAATACCCTTTTGTTTTTGCCACATTTTTTGCCATAAATTTTGAATAGAAAATTATATCTAATGCCTCCAAAATTCAAGTTTACTTTTATTGAAAGAAGTAGGGTTCATCCTTTTTCGGACATCCTGTGTAGGTGGAAATAGATGCTATTTTTCATATTTTTCGAAAACATATGAATCAAATCTTACTCATAATTTTCAATTCTTTTTTGGCGATTATGAAGATCATTAAAAACTTTTTATTTATATAAACGAACAGAGGATTGTAGATGGTTTTCATATACAGATTTCGGTATTTCTGTCAAATAAAAAGAATTTTTTTAAATAGATAACCCCAAAAGGAGTCGATTTTATAAATTTTTAATCTAACCAGAAATATCACAATAAGAAACTAATTTTTTTTAAACGTTTTTTATTTAAATATAAATGTCATTTATTTTGATGTAATCCTAGTCCAACAAATGCACATATTCAACAACGAATAATAAAGGCCTACTTAAAAACAAGAGCTGATTTAGTACATTTGCAATTAATTTTAACAAATATTTGTTATATGTATACACCTCCCAACACAATCATAGTTCGTATAAATCTATTCATTACGTTTCACAAAAACATTTATAATAATTTGTTGTGTACATAACGACATCATGCAAAGGATTCTGTAAAATAAATATCAGATTTGGCGTCACTCTTGTATATAAGCTTATAGATGTACGACCTGTTATCTATCACTAATGTGATATTTTTATTTATCCATTACCATATGCATAAGAATTAAATATTTATGGCTTGGCAATTTCAAAAATGAATTATTCCTATTTGTTAAATGGTTAAACTATAGCGCAATACTGTCATCCACGTCGACATTCAAGGGTTTTATTATGCTTGCGCACGTTGTACATAAAAAAAATATGATAGGGTACAATCATTTTATATAATAACTATAACTGTTTGAGTCTGATCAATTCAATTATGTTTTAGACTAGACGTTTTTTGGGAATAAAGTGTGTTTATGTCATGGAATTTTTTTTAATTTATTTAACATTGCCGTTTTCCTATTCCATCTGGTACTTGGTTACTTCGACATGAAATACAAGGTTCGATCAAAAAGTAACGGGAATTGTTCATTTCAATTTTTATCCCATCCTCTTCAAAGACCTTCTTAAAAACATTTATACCATTGATAAACTTGAATGCTTTGCTGCACTTAATTCCGTAGACACTAGGGTAGACTTATTCATTCGTTCTCTAAACACAAACTAAGTGTGGCAGCTGCCTAAAAATTGTCAATTGTACGGCACTGGCAGTACTACCAATACACAGAAAAGAATCAACTCGATAGGCAAGATTCAACACGCGCAATTTTAAGATTCCCGTTACTTTTTGGTCAGGCCTCGTACAAGGCATCAAGAAACCGTGTGTTTTACAGTATACTGCAGCCAATAGAAAAAATTGCTTTTATACAAAAGAAATTAAGGTAAGTACTAGCTAATATTGTAATAGAAAAGTAAATGGTTTCGTATGTATTTGATTTTGTTTTATACAAAAAAGAAAACAAATTTTGTAGTAAAACAGTAATTTCTCAACAATGAATCATTTGTCGTAAAAAATTTTTTGGCAACTTAAGACTAGTAGTTAAATTAGTATAGAAATGGCAGTCAAACAATGTTGATATATTACACTTAATATTACCTGAAAAATATCCTGTTGGCGTGTCAGCAAACAATATTTTTACAAACAGTTTCTTTAAATTATATTTACCTATATATTTTCCCAAAGAAAATTATATTAAATTACACAGTATATCCCATTTAGATTTCCTCATAAATATTCTAATTGAACCACATTTAAATTGTAATGAAATCGTTTAAAATAGTTATTTTCTTCTTCTTCAAAAGAGAAAAACAGTTTTGGTACGTTTTAATGAGTATAGAGAACTTTAATAAATATATTCATTTATGATAGTAACGTAAAGATTAATTTATTTAATTTTCTTTATTTATCTTTTGGCCAATGCTGTGTAGAATCTTGTACTATTTTCCACTGTTTTAAAAAGATGTTTTGAAATAAAAATTGGTCTGTTTTCTATTATATTTCAATAGAAAACAGGCAACAACGTTTACCAGTATAATAAAAAGTTATTTTGTGTTTCTAAACAGCGATATTTGTCGAATAATTTCAATCCATGAAATAAATATCGGTTAAAAGCTGAAAAACCCTTTGTCGCACACTGCAGAGACAGTATCGATCAACTAGTGCAATACACGAACTCATCTCTACCGGAATCCACGAATTGTAACTATTTTTGTCTGCAAAATATAAAACCGCCAGTGGATAATGTTACATGGATATAATCAAGATTGTATTTCCTCCTCTTTTATCGATTCTTACCGCCGTCCTCGCGGAGGCACTTATTTTCTGCAACTGAATATTTTTCAAGGCAGTGTAGGTAATTGGACAGTCGAGATGAATTCAAATAACAGCAGGTGATGAAATGAAGGGTGGGAGGGGGACTGCGCCTTTAGGCGCCTTGGGAGGCCATCAGAACAAATAAAAAGTTCGTAGATGAATTTTCAGATAACACAATACTGTTTTTCATTACGCACGATATTGTTTCGTTATTACATAAAACACAAAAAGCACACCAAACAAATTTGATAGGAAAAAGTATATAAAATTACAATTTTGTTCAAGTTGGCATTGCAAACTATAGTTTAGTTCTGTTGAATATTAATAGCCACAGCAATAAGAACTGAAATGAACATCAGGGCGGGTTCACAACCACAGAGTCTAGTCCGAGAACAACAAGGGCGGATCGAAGGTTCCTGGCTAATAGATTGTGGTGACAGCATGCCATTTATAAGTCCATGCTGATGTATTGTTAAATTTCTATTATCCTTTTTATCCTCTTCAAAACATCCTAGAAACCTGAAACTGAGAAAAGCATTAAGGAACTTCAGATGTTGCGACTTGTACCCCGTTTCCCATTTTTAACATGCGATGTTTATATTTCTACTGAACACTCCTCGTATCTATTTGGCCTTTCTCAAAGTCTGTTTCCAATCACCTCCCAGAATGTAACGACTGATCGACTCCACGTATACATTTCCACCAGGAATCACCAGATATGTTTTGACGGCGGTGTATCGGTGCGGTGACGCGTGTTTGTTAGATGTCAGGAGAAGGAAATCTTTAGGGGTTGGCATGTTCATCGGTGACAGTAGATGCACTCCGAGAAAAAAAGCCGTGTTCCCTTACGGTTCCCTTTTCATAACATCGAGTTGTATGCTTTCTGTACGACGTTTTGAGCAAGTATTACAACTGAAATATAACTGAATATACAGGGTGTCCCCAGTTCGAAATTCCAATTGTCAAAAAAAAATCAATCTTCATAAAAATGTTTGCTTGTCCAGAAGCCCTTCGCAAGATAGTCATTTGTTCAATTTAATGTACAAGGTGTTCAAAAATTTGGAAAAGGTAAAAACAGTGAAGAGTAAAGTACCTTAAATCTTAACGCTACGTGAAAAAGTAATAGGAAATAGTTGCTTGGAATTAAATTTTATGTTTAAATATGAAAGCATGGCTTTCTAGTTAATACTCGACATTCTGGGATATCCTAGGATTCTACTTATTTTTTTATACTTTCGGAGAAGCTATTCTCTTTAAAAAATATTGCTTTATTGAAAAACAGATACACATGTTTGCATATTAATAATTTATTTTTTATACAGGGGGATCAAAAACCTCAAAAACATTAATCCAACATTTATTTTGAGAACAGCAGAATCAGTATGTAGGCGCCATTACAAAGCTAATCTACATGAAGTCCGCCAAGTTCAACACACCTACAATCTTTTTCTAAATGCAGCGTGGGTCGAATGTATCATTTCTTCATTTACTTGGGCAATAGCTTCAATTATCCTGCTTTTAAAGAAATCAACATTGTGTTGCACTGGTTCTCTGTACACTTTTTCTTTCAAGAAGCCTCAAAGGAAATAATCAAAATACCAATAATTTGTAGAAGGCAATTGTTATCAATAATTGTTTGACATTGGGTGATGATATTCAATTTAATATTTTTCAAATAATGCTTACTTTACAGCATCGCATTTATCTTGTTAAATGTTACGGTTTCGGTAACATTTCTTGTAGCCAAGCAATTGAATTGTTTCATGAAAAATATCCAGATGTTAAAGTTACCCG